GTCTCAAAAAATAAATAAAATTAAAAGGGCTGGGGAGTCTTAGACTCTGTCTCAAATAAATAAGTAAATGAATAAATAAATAAGGCTAGGGATGTAACTTGGTAAAGTACCCCTGGGTTCAATCCCCAGTAACATACACACACACACTAAAGAAGATGAAGGAATGGACATGATAAGGCAAGAATGAGACAGTATGAAAAATAACAGGAGGATTAGGAAAATATCCTGAAAAACTTGGAACAGTTTGGCACAACAAAAATTTGTCCCACTTTCAAGACCAGTAGTATTGGGTTGAGATGTCCTGTGTAGAAAATTAAAAGGAATTCAGATGACTTAAATGATTTTGGTTTAAAGAGAGTGATTGAACACATCCATTGACTCCCTCCTAAAATCTTATCGAAATGATTGGGAAAGGATTTAAAAATTAAAATTGTATAAATTCATAAAGAATTAGAGAAAAATAGAAGAGCATCAACAAAGTTTTAGAAGTTGGAATCAGGATGGCATTGAAGTTCTTAGCAATAATATCAGAAACATGTAGACAGTGAAACAGTCCTTTCAAAATTTTTGGAAAAGTAATTTCTAATCTAAAACTCTATTCCCATCCCAAATTATCATTAAGTGCCGGGGGAAATGTAGACAATTTTCAGACATTCATGTTCTCAAAAATTTTACCCACTGCTTTCCCCTTCTCAGGAAGCTTTGTAAAACAAGGAGTAAACCTTTTACATAATTTTTAGAAACTAAGGCAGTGTGATATTGGCTCAGAGGCAATCAATAAGATCAGTGAAACAGTATAAAGGGTCTAGAATCAGACTCTAATTAATTAGGTGTTCTGGCTTTATCTTTATGTTTTCAGGTAGGAGAAAGGATTTCTTAAATATTATAACATTCATAGAGAAAAAATTAACCAATATGAATACCAAAATTTAAAGTTTTTGATAGAATAAAGGATACCATATATGGGTTACAATAAACTAGTAGTAGAAAGAAGGTATTAGAAATAAACTTAACATATAAAGAAGTAAAGCTCAGAATATGTAAAAAACTACTACAAACCAATAAGACTGAGACAAAATCCTGAACAAAAATAGCTAAAGCATAGAAATAGGCAATTCACAAAAGAGGAAATATAAATAGCCAAGAAACACTGTTTTCAGGGAAATAAAAATTAAAATAACAATGAGGTACTATTTTACATGCAAAGATTAGCAAAAAATTAAAATAGCTTATTCATTACAAGTATAAGATTTAAAATGGTTACTCATTATAAGAATGTGGGCAAACAAATTTTATGGAATATAAATTGATTAACCACTTACTTATTCAGGGCAAATTGGGACTAGTACATGGAGAATAAACTAGTAATAGTATGTAAAGTTCAAAATCTGCATACATTAAGGCCCAGGGAATCCAATTTAGCTATGTTTCCCTGGAGAAGCATGCATATACAAGACTTTTAACTGTCACATTGTTTGTAATATTGGAAAATAGTGAACAATTCATGTGACCACCTGTAGAAAAATGGACAATTACATATTCATATGATTTATTTGATATAGGCAGCAGTTCAAATGAACACACTAGATCTAAATGTATAAATATGACTCAATTTCAAATGAGTGGGGTAAGAAAAGTTGCAGAACTGTGAAAACTTCTGTCACATATTCCCAGTAGAGATCAAATAAAGTGATACCTTTCTGTCTTGTTTTTGTTCTCATACTGTAAGCAAGTGTCCTTTTCATCATCTGGTGAGTGTCGTGTTTTTCACATTTTTGTGCTTTTCATTGTTGATTTTGTTACATAAAATGAGTCCTAAGTGTAATGCTGAAGTGCTATCTTATGCTTTTAAGTGTAAGAAAGCCGTCTTGTGCCTTGTATAGAAAATACATGTATGAGATAAGCTTCTTCAGTCCTGGGCAATGATGCTGTTGGCCAAGAGCTCAATATTAATGAATAAAAAATACAGTAAATTAGGGATCTTTAAACAGAAACACACAAAACAAGGTTATGTATTAATCTGTTGCTAAAAATGAGTAGAGGCTGGTAAGATCCTACCCCAGTGTTTCTCCTAGGAACAATGATTCAGTGTTCACTAATTCAGTTTGCAGTAACTCTGAAGAACATAACTATCACTAAAAATGAGAATTGAATTTACTTTCATTGTACTTTATCTGAAATAAACTTTATGTATTTGCTTACTTAGACTTCAAAGCCAGGACCTTATCTGGTTTGGTTCCCTATCACATCCTTAGTGCCTGACATGATTGGCAAATTGTTATTAAATGAATGGAAGGATGGATTAATAATAAGTAAGCAAACAAACATCTGTTGAACTTTTTCTTCTAGTTCTAAACTAGGTTACGAAAAGAAAATCTTGCCAGGCACAGTGGCACACTGGTGCAATCTCAGATACTTGGAAAGCTGAGGCAGGAGGATCTCAAGTTTGAGACCAGCCTCAGCAACTTATTGAGACCCTGTCTCAAAATCAGAAGAAAAAGAAAAAAAAAAAGCAGAGAGGACTGGGAATATAGCTCAGTGGTAAAGGACCCCTGGGTTTAGTCCTGAGTACCATACACACGCACACAAAATAATAATAATAGAATTTGGAATTTAATTATTTCAGCACATGCCTAAAGCTGTACATATTTGAAAATGTAGGTTTAAAATTTTTTTTTATAATGGAAAATTTCAAACAAACATAAAAACAGAGGTAACAGTAAAATGAATCCTATTTATTTATTTATTTTGGTATTGGGGATTGAACCAAGGGGCACTTAACCACTGAGCCTCATCCCTGGCCCTTTTTATTTTTTATTTGGAGATAGGGTCTCACTAAGTTGCTTGGGGCCTTACTAAATTGTTGTGATCCTCCTGCTTCAGGCTCCCACGTCACTGGGGTTGCAGGCATGCGCCACCTCCCCCAGTCTCATGAGTTTATTTTGAACTTTCTAGAAGAATCCAGTTTTAAAGAAGCTTTCTCCTGACCTACAGGATCAAATGCCTCAATAAGACTATCTTTGGGTAACTCCGGTCTGAGATGTTCAGAAACCCAAGTGTCCACCGGAGGGTAGCAGGTACTTACTGTTAGTCCCAGCCTCTTCTGTCCTGGAAATGGAGCTTCTAAGAGGCTGCCTTGAAGCTTAAAGAACATTGTCAGGTCATCTCCACCTCTACAAATAAAAAAAGAGAAAGAAGTTCCTGGGATGGTGTCTGGAGCATGATTCTAAGAGTCTTTTCAGGGTGTGGAAATCATAATTTACTCCATATTGCATATTGCGTTTGGAGCCCCTATTTGTTTTTTCAAGTCTTTAGCAACAAATCCTATGAAATCAAAAGAGCTTAAGAGCTTGTCTTTAAGAACATCAAAGAAAGCATGAACCACTCTTCTTTCTTTGTTGCTTAGAAGAGGATCAACCCCAAGAATAGAGAGGGTGGTGGCCTCATTAGACAATAAGCCTCTGAGACTTGTTGCAGGGAAAGGAAGCCTGGGCCAGCGCCAGAGAACTTGGCAGGTCAGATTGGAGAAGCCCAAGTGGCCCTTGGAACAGAGTTGGATTCTCCTTTCCTCTTGCTGTCCCTGACTGTTACCTAACATGCTTCACTCCTGCCCTGTAGCTCATGACGGTGTGGTCACCATCTTTACCTTTAAGTGCCAACAATACATTTCAAGCAGACCTAAGACCTTGTCTCCAAACCCAAAGACTTTCCTCCTGTATTCTTACTTCATTTTCTCCTGTTTTAATAAGTAGCCTCACCAGGATTGGACACAGCTGACTTCTAAGGAATAGCCCTCCTTGGAGAAGGTCACCCCATTGCCACTCCCCCAGCTCTGAGGCACCCTTTCGGTCTCCCTCTCCTCCTTTCCCCATGCCCTCCTCTTTCCTTTGCTCTCACCTTTACATTCTTGTCCTTGTTCTTTTTTCTCCCTCCTGCTATGTGCAGTACACATGTGCATGCTCCAGCCATATTAAACTACATTCTTGAGCCTGCTTTCTCTCACCTAGGGGTGATTTTACATGCTTCCCCCCTAATAGGATTCCCTCCAGTGTGTTCCCAAGCACTCAGTTTTATTGGTTTGTTCCCCCACCTGCCCTCTCATTATAGCATCCACTAAACTGTATTATCTGTTTCTTTGTGTTTCCTTTACTGGATTCTAAGTTTCTTAAGTCCCTCTCAAGGGCAGGGACTATTTGCTTAGTATATTTATCCAAAAGCTTGGGCAATTACTGACATAGAATCAACCTCCAGTAAGTTATTTTGTACAAGTGAAGGAGCAGAGCTGAATCTGGCCATCTCTGATTCTTTGCTTGTGGAGATTGGAAAGAAAATGTTCTGCAAGGAACCTGGAATTATGGACATTCAATAAATTGTGGCTATAGTGGCTGTTGTCATTCTTCAATGAGTCTTGCTCATGACTGTTCTCTTTGGGGGGTTAAGTCATGCCTTGCACATAATAGACACCTAAGATAGAAGACTGAAATGAATATGTATTTAATAAATTAAATAAGCAGGATATATGATTGGTTAGTCTGTGTTTAATGTAAAATTATGACTATATTGAGGATAAGTTTATTTTCTGTGGGACATAGATTTTGACTTCTTTTTTCAGGCACAGATGCATTTTGTAATGACTGTATTTTTGAGAGAATCCTATGCTTTCTATTGTTTTGAAGATGACAACTTGTTACTTTACTTCTTTTTTTTTAATATATTGCTAAATGTCTGTCACCTGGAACTGGAAAGAATTTACTAAAATATTTTAAAAAATTAAAAAATTTTGACTACATATGTAGTTGAATTAAAGGCATCATTTAAAAAAATCATTTAAAAAAATCCCAGAATATGTATTTATAGGCTAGAATGCCCATGTTAATATTTGATCTGCATGATGAAAAACAAATAAGATATTTACAAACCGTACCTTGTTTTCTTTGTCCTTCACGCCCTGTACCTGGAGCAGCATCTCATTTTCATCAGATTTGAAAGAAGAAGAAAAAATGCCTGTGTTATATCCTGAAATCAAATTTGAGACTTCTAACTTCACCAGAAGTTCCCTGAACACTTATTTTCTTTTTGAGAGTAGTTGGAAGAAAGCAATTTTAGAAACTGAGAAGATGAGGAAAGGTAAATTTATTTTTATTGTTATTTTACCAAAGGAAAAAACTAGAAATAGTGCCTTGAATTTACCTGTTTTTGAAGCAGTCAAAAACACTTTATAATTTCTATGACATTTATATCATGAGTATTAATATGTTGTTCATGAAAAAGAAAATGGAAGCAAATTAAAATGAATTAATGTAATTCTGTGACACATCAATTTTTTTTGCTTTTTAAAAAATGTATATATGACAACAGAATGCATTACAATTCTTATTACATACATACAGCACATTTTTTCATATCTCTGGTTGTATATATAGTATAATCACAAAATTCCTGTCTTTATACCTTTATTTTGGATAATAATGATCATCCCATTCCACCATCATTAATTACCCCACGCCCCCTCCCTTCCCCGACAGATCAATTTTAGAGAATTCTCTTAGCTGGGGTGTGGTGGTACATTCCTGTTATCCCAGCACCTTGGGAGGCTTAGGTAGGAGGATTGCAAGTTCGAGGCCAGTCTGGGCAACTTAGCAAGACCATATAAAACAAATAATAAAATGTCTGGGAGTGACAGACATTTCAATGGTAGAGCACTTGCCTAACATGTATGAGGCCCTTAGTTCAATCCCAGTACCTCCAAAGAGAAAAAACAATAAAGAATTACTTCTCTCTTGGGGCTGGGGATGTGGCTCAAGCTGTAGCGCGCTCGCCTGGCATGCGTGCGGCCCGGGTTTGATCCTCGGCACCACATACAAACAAAGATGTTGTGTCCGCCGAGAACTAAAAAATAAATATTAAAAATTCTCTCTCTCTATCTCTCTCTCTCCTCTCTCACTCTCTCTTTAAAAAAAAAAAAAGAATTACTTCTCTTCATATTTAATGCATTACTGTCTCTGTTGGATCACACTAATTTTCATAAATAGTGTATCCTTTTAAATATCTCAATTTTTTTTATATTTTAGAACACTCAATTTTTGTTTTATTTTTATTTTTTATTTTTATTTTTTGCTTTGTACCAGGGAATGAACCCTGGGACACTTAACCACTGAGCCACATCCCCAGTCCTTTTTATTTTTTATTTTGAAACAAGGTTTCACTAAGTTGCTTTGGGCCTTACTAAGTTGCCCAGGCTAGTCTTAAACTTGCAAATCCTCCTCAAGCTGCTGGGATATCACTATGCCCAGCAGGACACCAAACCTTTAACAATGTCTTTATGTGTCAGTAAATTCAACCAAAACTTTATTTTGAGTATATTAAATGGAGACTATATTATATTCTACAGTTGCTCAATAAAGACTAGTTTGAGAATGATTGACATATGTATGAATAGCTTCCCCCCTTACCTTTAAGTTACAACTGTTTTTTATTTATTCTGAACTCTGCCTTCAGCTTTATTGATGGACATAAAATTCTTGAAATAGCGAAATTCAGACTACTCAATCATTTCATCCCTTCTAGCTTTGGGTGTGTTGCTATACATACAAATATTTTTATAAGTTTCTCACCAGGTCCCCATTAAAAGTGCTCAGAAAATACTTGATTGACCACTCTCCTACCCCTCAATCTACTGTTGAAAAGTGAATCTGTATTACAGATTTTTAGTCAAAGTATTTTTTCCAAAAGAGGAAAAATCAAAGGTTGTAAAATGGCATTTTGAACTTTCAATGGAATAACTTGTATCTTAAATACTATGTTGCTGCTGGACTTGCTTAGTAGACACATTTACAAAAGCTTAAAGACCACCCAATTTTAAACTTCTTCATCTACCTTTTCCATTTAATACCTTTGTTTTGAATTTTTAAAAATAATTTGACATTGATATGTAAGGTCAGTAGAAGCAGCAATCTGCATAGTGCTGCTATTTATAGATTTGTTATGAAATTTTGTGCAGAGAAAATTAAAATCAATGCCTAAGAGAATTAATTCTTTTATCTCTCATTGCTAACTCAAATGATCATGTACTTCTACCTGTTAATTGTTTGCACAAAATCAGGAAAATGAAAAGATTCAAAGCTGTAGGTAATACCAGACTCTTGAAAGTGCTTTATTTAAATGTTATGCTAATATTCTAGCAGTTCTGATTAAATAAAATAATAAAAAATGTGAACAGTGAGTGGTACTAGAAGTTGAACCCTACATGCTAGGCAAGTGCTATACCACAAAGCTATATTCCCCAGACCCTTTTATTTTGAGACAGGGTCTCACTAAATTGCCCAGACTGGCTGTAAACTTTCAATTCTTGCGTCTCAGCCTCCCAGATCTCTGGGATTACAGGCATGCTCCACCATGCCCAGCTCTTAATCTAATTTTTACATATATGAATTCTATAGTCTAATTCATAAATATATATTTAATGTTGATGGACCTTTATTTTATTCATTTATTTATATGCTGTGCTGAGATTTGAACCCAATGTCTCACACATGCTAGGCAAGCACTCTACCACTGAGTCACAACCCCAGCCTTTAATCAGTCCCTTATCCTACTATTCTGTATACTCCATGGACAGGAATTGGAAGACATTTTCTTGGTAGAGATACTAGATAAATTACAGTTGCTTAACTTACTTAATGGCTGATTAGATATATTTTATTATGAATTAGAGTTTGTAGTAAAGTAATATACTTTAACCAAGATGATTATGATAATATTTTATATCAGAATACCCCTCAGCATTTGGTCTGGAAGAGTTCAAAGAATGTGTCAAGATGCCATATTTACCAGTATTGCCAACATGCCAAAAGAGTGTAAGTTCAACTCCACTGGAGAATCATAAACAACTGCTACGCACGGACGCCCAGATGCCTACAGTCAGGTAGATTTTGATAGGTAACTTTCTTTTGAGCAATAGTTATTCACAGAAATACTGTTCGATGTAGAGATTTTTTTCTCTTAGTGAATCTCTTTCTTGCCTACTGATTTTTTTTTTCATAAAGGATTTATGTTTTAAAATCTAAACCATTTTATTCAGATTGACAACAGGCACTTTACTATGTTTTCAAGTGTAACATTGCCAGAAAGGATTAGGGACTTCCTTTGAAAAATCTTGAGTACCCTACCCTAGATCATGCCCATGAGAACATTGAAATACTCAGAAATAAAAAAAGCTAACTCTAACTGAGTGCGGTGGTACACGCCTCTAATCCCAGTAGCTCAGGAGGCTAAGGCAGGAGGATCACAAGTTCAAAGCCAGACTCAGCAATGGCGAAGCACTAAGCAACTCAGTGAGACCCTGTCTCTAAATAAAATACAAAATAGGGCTGGGGATGTGGCTCAGTGGTTGAGTGCCCCTGAGTTTAATCCCCAGTACCCCCCCCAAGAAAAATTAATTAAAGCTATGTTTTGCCCTGATTTTTTGAATCACAAATATACATACTGATATCAAATATCTTATTTAAGGCTTATTTAAGACATTTTTAAATGTCCCATCAGAATGATTTGCAAAGCTACTGGAAAGAGATTCATATGGAAGCATGACATGTTATGTTTATTTAGAGGAAACCATATTTCCCAAAGTGAAATGATCATATTGACAGAAACACAAAACAGAACCTATCTTTAGCCTCATTACTCATTCTGTTCCTCATAACTGAAATGAGAATGTGAATTCATTGACATCTTTCTTTACTTTAAGCACTTGAATGCACTCTGAGGATGCAGTGATAAATGAAACTCAGTATTTGCCTTTATGGAGTTCCCAGAATAATAGGAAGACTCGAATATTATTACCTGGTATTTGNGCAACTCAGTGAGACCCTGTCTCTAAATAAAATACAAAATAGGGCTGGGGATGTGGCTCAGTGGTTGAGTGCCCCTGAGTTTAATCCCCAGTACCAAAAACAAAAACAAAAACAAAAAACAACAACAACAAAAAACCTAACTCAATAGTATTAACAGTTTTCAGTATCTTGAACATAGAACCTGCAATTCAATTCTAGAATGAGGTCTAGTGTGGCACATGACTGTAACCCCAGCCATTTTGGAGGGTGAGTCAGTAGTAGTTCAAGTTCGATGCCAGCCTCAGCAAGTTTGTGAGACCCTGTCTTAAGATAAAAAATAAAAAGGGCTGGGAATGGAACTCGGTGGTAAAGCAAACTGGGGTAAATCCTTAGTAACACACACACACACACACACACACACACACCAAAAAAAAGTATTTATGGTATTATAAATTGCAACTTTTTAAATGGGAGGATTTATATTTTCATAGTATCTTCCAGAAATAATGAACTTTAAAGTCATCCAGTTATACATAGCACTGGGGTTTTAGAATATATTTCTTGAGTTTTCCAGCTCTAATATTGTTGTTAGGGACTCTTGAAATAAATTGTGCTAATACAAATAGAAAACTAGAGCATGTTAAAAGTGAAAAGTTGTGATAATATTTATCTAAATTAGGAAAATAAATAAGAGCTTTGGAGAAAAAAGGAAAATAATTATTTGATTATCTACCCATTCTAAAATGTCCATTTTTTACTGTTAGGCATTTTCTTCTATCTTCTTTAGTTTCATGGATTTATTTTAGTTTTGATTTTAGTGTAATTGCAATTCTTTTTTTGCCTTTTTAAAACTTAATGCATTATGTGTTTTTTCATATTACTGAATACTCTTCAAACAACATTATTGGCTACATTATATTCCATTAATATGTCCATGTTTTACCCATTTTGTTTGGTGCTGGGGATTGAACCCAGGGGCGCTTTACCACTGAGCTACATACCCAGCTCTTTTAACTTTATTATTTTTTTAAATTTTGAAATAGGTCTTCACTAAGTTGCTTAGGGTCTCACTAAATTGCTGAAGGTGAACTTGCAATCCTCCTGCCTCAGCCTCCCCAGTCTCTGGGATTACAGCCATTTGCCACCATGCCCGGCTTGGTTTTTAAAATAATACCATAAGTAACAATAATCATATATACAACATTTCTCATCATTTTAAATATTATCTGAAGATAGATTTTCAAGCAATAAAAATATAAAAAACAAAACTACTCTTTCTGAAGTAAGGTTATAAGAAAAGAAGACAGCCTTAGCAATGATGGAAGAGAAATAGTGAATTGTTAGCAGCAGGGTAGTTTGGTGTATCTACAGGGAAGGAGGTTGAGATGCTAAAGATGAGGCACCTTTTGATAATTTTTTTTTTTTTTTTTTTGCGGTGCTGGGGATTGAACCCAGGGCCTTGTACATGTGAGGCAAGCATTCTACCAACTGAGCTCCATCCCCAGCCCCATGAGACACCTTTTGAAACATGAGCATAAAACCTATCAAGGACAGTCATTTTACCTCATTACCAAGAACCCAGTCCCTGACCTTTAACTTCTATCATTTCCATCTGTGGACACAGTGCTCTGCCAGTGGCAACAGACTTTGTTCCTGTACAGACCAGTCTTGTATGTTCCTTCATAACACAACACACAGTCATCTTAAAGGAGTGGTAAGCCTGGAAAGCACCCCTGAAAGAGCCCATTCTGTCTCTTTATATAATTTCCATGTGATGTCAATTAACAAGTGGGTTCTGGGGTTAAAGGTGTAGCTCAAGAGGAGAGCACATGCTTTACCATGTCCGAGGCCCTGAGTTCCCTCCCCAGCACCAAAAGTACTCTTAATTATTTTTTTTTATGTGTGTGTGTTTTGTGGTATTGGGGAGGGAACTCTAGTCCTTGGACATGCCAGATAAGTACTCTATCAAGGAGCTTTACCCCCAAGCCCCATTTCTAAACATTTTATGTTGACTCGAGTGTGAATTAATTTAAGCCAACGAAGGATGATCTGAACACATTTTATTCATGTTATGACAAGCTTCCTTTCTATGTAAAGTGGAATTGTGGTGACTAAGTTATAGAATGTACACAAAGTGCTTGCCAAGCATAAATGTTAATTCTTACCCCTACTTCTGACATGCGTGTGTTCATTTTAGCTATTCTAGTGAGAACATGTCAAGTTGCCTGCAAGTATTTTATTCTCCTCTGCACATCGCACAGCGCCCTGTGAAAGAACAATTTTGGCAAAGCAGGAAAGTACTCTTCTTAGTTTGTTTTGTGTACAACTCCTTACCCTCTTTTACTCTCCATATGTGAATATTTGAAATTAAAATCTTTGATAAGAATTGAATTTTTTTTTTCAAATTTCTTTAATGGTGATCAGAAATTTTTGGTGACTCTCACAGCACACTCTGGAAATATAACTGAAAATGGTCATCCTAGAGGTGAAGAGTATTTAAAAGTCCCTGCTGGCTTTTTAAAAATTCTAATTTGTTTCGCTCCTGACTTTTAAAGTTTCATATAGCTATAAGAAGTTGAGAATTCTCATGACCCAGTATCTCATCCATAGCAGATTCAATCATGATGTATTTCCCCTAACAATCACTTATTATCTAGGCCGATTACAGCAGGAACAACAGTTAAATATGACAGAATTCAGACTGCAGTGGCTGATAGGTAAGAAGTACACAAACAAGGAATAGTTGGCATCTGACACATCCAGATATCATGTTACTCTTGATTCTCCTCCTCTTAGTATTTCTTGTGTCATAACAACAAAGTGTTATAGTAAAGATTSTAGGAAAAGTTAGACATGGCACCCATCTACTGGTAAAACTTGCTAGGAAACCCAACACATTGGGTTGGTTCATATCTGCTTCTGATTGGATTAGTTATAATGGAAGGGGTCTCCTTTTTTAACATTTATTTAAGTTCCCTGTGATGTCATTTAACAAGTGAGTTCTGGGGTTGGAGGTGTAGCTTAGTGGTTCAGCACATTCTTTGCATGTACAAGGCCCTGGGTCCGCCTCAACACTGCCCACCTCCCCACAACAGGAAAACCAAAAAAACAAAACAAGTGAATTTTACTGAAAGTGTGTTGTTTACCTGTTATTGTATCCTTTAAAGTTTATATACATGTGACTTTATGATAATATATACTCTTTTAGGGTAAAGAAGACAAAGGGTACATGTGCCATGGTACCACTTCAGGAGAAATCAAAAGGTAAACTGGCTCATCTTTTTTCCCACCAAATGTTTTGTTAGAGTGTCACATACTTATCTTTTTTATTTCCTTTATTATTATTTTTTAATTGATTTGTCTTTGTTTTATTAATGCTCTTTTTAACGTTGTTTATTTATTTCATAAACTTAGAGGATCTTGAGTCCATTATGCACATACATTTATAATCTCAGGACCCTAGGATAGGCCCTCACTTGGACCATGTAGTAGCCTGTAAACTGACCCTGTTTTGAGTTTTTGACCTTTGAAATCCTTTGACTTAAAGCCCTAACACCTTGATCTTTAATCACATTACTGCCTTCTTCAAAAAACAATAGCTTCTCATTACCTGCAGACTTAAGTATGACTTTCTTCGTCTTTCATTGAACCCTTTACCAACTTCCCCTAACTTTCCATTCCAACCTTATCTTCTAATTTTATTTATTTATTTTTTTGTGAATCTTGTTTACTAAAGACATCTCACTACACCAACAGTTTGGGTTACAAAAAACCACTCTTTTTTAGTTTGGGGTTCTTTTTTTTTTTTTTTTGGTTTGGTACTGGGGATTGAACCGTGGATCACTTAGCTACATCCTCAGCCCTTTTTATTTTGAGACAGGCTTGAACTTCTGAGACTGGCCTTGAATTTGTAATCCTCATGAGTAGTCTCCCAAGTAGCTGGGATTATAGATGTGTACCACTGCAGGAATCTCGAAAGCTACTCTGGAATCAATTTATTCTGAAGTGTACAGTGACTAAGAGGGTTTACAGCACTGTGATATATTTTTGCCATATTCAGAGGGACAGCGCATCCTCTGAAGCTTAAAAATTAGGCATTCTGGGGCTGGGGTTGTGGCTCAGCAGTGGAGCATTCGCCTAGCACTTGCAAGGCCCTGGGTTCGATCCTCAGCACCACATAAAGATAAATAAAATAAAGGTATTGCGTCCAGCTACAACTAAAAAATAAATATTAAAAAATTAGGCATTCTCACCTCCCTGTTTTTGATTTGTTTGATCAGAATTTTATTTTTCAAAAATAGACACTGGAAAATCTGTTCTCTCAGATTTTCAAGATTGTAAGGAACTTCCTAGAAGTACACTTATGCTTCATTCCTTCCTTTTATATGTGACTGATTTATGACGAAATTATACCAAAGGAACCATACCTGACACATGACATAATGCATATGACTAGCATCTAAGTTCTAGCTATTCCCTGAGGTAATTTTGTCCAAAGTTAATGTTAAAGATTCATGAGCCATACAGTTAAAACTTTTCCATTAAAAAAAATGTGGGGGTCTTTTGTTGATTATTGTCTAAGCCAGGGATTTCATTTTTAATTTTTTTGGGGGGAGGGTTACTAGATTTTGAACTCGTGGCATTCAACCACCGAGCCACATCCCCAGCCCTTTTTATTTATTCATTTATTTATTTATTTTTAATTTAGAGACAGGGTCTCACTGAATTGCTTAGTGCGTCACTTTTGCTAAGGTTGGCTTTGAACTTCTGATCTTTCTGCTTCAGCCTCCCAAGCCACTGGGATTATAGGTGTTTGCCATCACGCCAGGCTTAAGCCAGGGATTTTAAACAGTGATAGTATTAACATTTTGAACTAGATAGTTCTTTATTGTGAGCCATGTCTTGTGCATTGTAGAATGTTTAGAAGCATCCACAGCCTCTACCCACTGTACGCCCCGGCACCCACAGCTGTGAAAAATAAAACAAAAAAAAAAAGTCTCTAGATATTGAAAAACAATAACAAACAAAAAAAAGTGCAGCAAAATCCCCTTCAGTTGAGAAACACTGGTCTAAGCATGGCACCCACAGCATTACGTTAYTTACTTTTTGTCTTTCAGGCTATCAAATGATCTATCCTTTATCCAAATGCACTAAATATTTCCTTCCCAGACTTTCAAACCCTTTCTATTTATTTATTTTTGTGGTAATGGGAATTGAACCCAAGGACATTTAACACAGGGACAGGGTCTCATTAAATTGCAGAGGTTGGCTTTGAATAAAATAAAGGTATTGTGTTCAGCTACAACTGAAAAATAAATATTAAAAAATTAGGCATTCTCACCTCTCTGTTTTTGATATGTTTGATATGTTTGTCCTTCCTCAGGTTCCTGAGTAGCTGACATTATAGGCGTGTGCCACCACACCCAGCTTTATTTTTAACATAACCATGGTTGTCATCTTCTAGTGCATTCAACACTTAAAACAACAACAAAAACTGAAATTGTAAGGCTTCTGTTGACGAGGTTGGTAACAGAATTGACAGTAGCTTTGTGAGTACATCTATGGAAGTTCATAAGGTTACATGCTCATAAAATTTTCCTTGGCTATTTCCTTACTCTGGATTTCCATAAGCCATAAAAACTTCTGTTATCAACAGGAGGCATAAAAGAAAAATAAGAATGTTAATMGGAACAAAAGACATGTGTTTTGCATCTTGGCCCAAACAAACATTTGTTTGCCTATTTTCCAAAAGACCAACTTTATGGCTCTTTCAACTTTATGGCTCTTTGAGAATGGGTGTGAATATATGGGCCTTTTCAAAATCCATACGTTATAACCTAATACCTAATGTGATGATGACAGGAGGAGCTGGCACTTTGGGGGAATGATTGTCACGAGGATCTTGCTCTCAGGAGTAGATTAGTGCTCTTATTAAAAGAGGTTGAAGGATCACCTTCCATTTCCATGCGATTTCCCTTCTCACTTCCTTTCCCTCCCACCTCTCACCCCTGTTAATGTAAATCTTCTTCTCAAGTTCTTCGTCCCTACCCTGTCCTTGTTTCCTCCCCTTATATCAGACAGCAGAATACATCAGACACTAGAAAGGCAATWTGTCAATCAATGGAAGGGDAACTGATGTGATACAGCAATCTATATACGGGGTAAAATTGGGAGTTCATAACCCACTTGAATCAAACTGTGAAATATGATGTATTAAGAACTATGTAATGTATTGAACGACCAACAATAAAAAAAAAAAAAAGAGGTTGAAGGGAGCACCCTAGTGCCCTCCTAGCCCTTCACCCTTTTGAGAACTCAGCATTCATCCCCTTTTGGCCTTCCCCACTCTGCCATGTGAGGACATAGCAATAAAGCTCCATCCTGGAAGCAAAGAGTAGGCCTTCAAGTGACCCATTCTGCCAGCATTTGATCTTGGACTTCCCAACCTCTGGAACACTGAGAAATAAACTTCTGTTCTATCAGTTATCCAGCCTGCATTATTTTGGTGTAGCAGCAGGAACAGAACCACAGGTACTCTGTCTTACTTAACTTTGTACCCCTGCAGTACCTATGTAAGGTTCTGCAACAAATATACTTGCTGAAAATTATTTTCTTCAGAGACATACAAGAAGGCAGTTAATTTTTTCACCAAACATGAATTAAGTATTGATCATATGTCAGGTATTGTTCTAGTTACTAAGCCTTGAGGATACATCCCTGAACAAAGATTCCTGCCCTTGTGAAGTGTATATTCTAGTAAGAAAATATAGCCCACAAACACTTGATACAATCAGCAAGTTCATTATGTAGCATGTTAGAAATTAAGCACAGCCTGGCACAGTGATGCACACCTGTAATCCCAGCTACTGAGACAGGAAGATGGCAAGTTTGGAAACAAAATTTAAAAAGGGCCGGGGATATAGCTCAGAGGCAGAATGTTCCTGAGTTCAATCCCCAATAGCACACACACACAAAAAATTAGGCATGATAGAAACAATAAAAATAGAGCAAAGTAAGGAAAATTATGGGATATAGTTAAAGGAGGCATATATATATATATATATATATATATATATATATATATATATATATATTTCCCCTCATTTTTTATTTTAGAGAGGCATTTATAAATTCATATTCAAAGAGAATTGGAAATGTATGTACTTGGATTCTTCGTATTATTTAATTTTACCAATGTTTTATACTTAGGACTTCATAAAGAAAATAGGTTGACTATACCAAAGTATGTAATTATAGTTTGAGGACATTTCTCAGATTAGTGAGTGAAAATAATTTTCTGTAACTTGGGAGAATGACTTCTTCCTGATTAAAAATATTTTAACTGTTCCCTTCCAAAATATCAAAAGTGTTACCCCCATGTAGTTCTTATTTGATGGATGAATGAGAAATAAGGACTCTTTATTTGTTGGGATTTGATAAATTTCATAGGAACATTGTCCTAATTATTGAGGTTTGGCACCTTCCCCTAGTAGTACCTGAATTAAGAGGAAACATCAATGTTGATGGGCTAACTAGTGTTTTGTTGTTGGTGGTGGTTTTGTGTGTATGTGTATGTGTGTAAATTCCTCTTTATTTTAAAAAGTTTTAATTTTCTTTTTTTATTTATTCTCTTTAGTTATATATGACAACAGAATCCATTCTGATATAATCACACAAGCATCTTATTCTAGTTTCCATTCTTATGGATGTACACGGTGGTGGGATTCACTGTCTTGTTTTCATATATGTACATGGGGAAACAATGTCAGTTTCATTCCCCTGTCTTTCCTGTTCCTATCTCCCTCTCTTCCCTCCATTCCCCATTGTCTAATCTACTGCACTTCTTTTCTTCCCCTCCCTCTCCCCCCATTGTGGATTAGCTTCCACTTATCAGAGAAAACATTCAAGTTTGGTTTTTGAGACTGGCTTACTTGGCTTAGCATGATAGTCTCCAGATCCATCCATTTGCTGGCAAATGGCATCAAGTTTTTCTTCTTTATGGCTGAGTGTTTTAGTCAACTTTTTTGCTGCTGTGACTAGAAGACCCGACCAGAACAAATTTAGAGGAGGAAAAGTTGACTTGAGGGCTCATGGTTTCAGAGGTCTCAGTCCATAGAAGGCTGCTCCATTCCTTGGGGCTTGAGATGAAGCAGAACAACATGGCAGAATAATGTGGCAGAGTGAGGCATCTCACAGTATGATAAGAAAGCAGAGAGAGATTCTGCTGGCCAGATACAAAATATATTCCCCCAAAGCCACACTAG